TCTCTTTTCTTCTTTCCTCTCCTACTTCTTGCTGTCTACTTTACTCTACAGTCAACGAACAAGACAGAATTCTATGGCAGGTCAAATTTCAACAAAGATCACAGTTTGGAGGTCTCTAATTCTGACACTGAAAATACTAAAAATTTTGAAATTTCTGTGATTCGACGTTCTTGGTTTTAGTGATTTAGAAACCTAATATTTCTTTAATTGGTCTGTATTGATATTTGGAAGTTCAAACTGCATGTGTGTAAAATATAATGAAAATTTAGTCAACGGTGATGTTTTTAAGAATTTCTGTTGCCACCCTCATCTGTCTTCAACTTTTTAATTTTCTAAGCATTGCCCTAAGCTTGCATATGCATGTTTTGTGTTATGCAGTGGAACAAAGGAAACAGCCAGAGTTACGTGGTGTACCAACTGCTGTGGTACAATACAACTCTTGGAAAGGTGGTGCTTTGATTGCTGTTGGTTATGAAGCTCGTAAATATGGTGTGAAGCGGTGAGTTGAATGTTGCCAGATTTTCTCACTCTCTTTTCTTTGGTAACCAAATCCGCTAAGGCTGTTAAAAGGTATGTGAGATTTTCAGTTCAATGCGTGGAGATGAGGCCAAGAAAGTTTGTCCACAAATCCATCTGGTTCAGGTTCCAGTTGCACGTAATAAAGCTGACTTGAATTTGTACCGTAATGCAGGTTCAGAGGTTTGTCATTTGTGAACTAATATTACTTTTTCTAGATTTAATCATTTGTACTAGTCATTCACATTGAAAACCTCTATTATAGTAGGTCATAATCAATCTTGCAGGTGGTTTCTATTCTTGCAAGAAAGGGTCGATGTGAACGTGCATCAATTGATGAAGTGTATCTTGACATTACTGATGCAGCTGAAACAATGCTGTCAGAAAATCCTCCAGAGATCTTGGAATCAATTGATGATGAGGTCCTAAAATCACATATTTTGGGGATTAATGAGGTAAGACAAAATAGACATATTTCTGTAAACAAAATGCAGGAGGTTTCTCTTAAAATTTTGGCTTGTAACTGTGATTGTTTCCATTCTAAACGTTTTCACAGTATGTTGGCTAGTTTTCTCTGGTAACTTGATATGATAATGCTGTTTGTGCTGTATCCAGGATCGAAGTAAGGGGGAAAATGTGAGAGAATGGCTTTGTAGGAGCGATGCTGATCGTCGTGATAAGTTATTAGCTTGTGGAGCCATTATTGTGGCAGATCTTCGGATGCAAGTCTTGAAGGAGACTGAGTTTACATGTTCTGCAGGCATTGCTCACAATAAGGTATAGCAGTTCCATTCTTTCCAAATAGCTTCCTCCCACAGGAAGATTCTCTGCTTGATGTTTGGCTTTCAGATTCATCGACTAGCAGATATTATTGTTGGCAGATGCTGGCAAAACTGGCAAGTGCCATGAACAAACCTGCGCAACAAACAGTTGTTCCATTCTCATCTGTCAAAGGGTTGCTAGCTACTTTGCCCATAAAGAAAATGTAGGTTCTGAGTTAGAGAAACACTTTTATAGGATTTACAACAAGCTTCTTTTTCTTCTTTTGGCATATGAAGTTGCTTTTTGTTTGACCTTTTGGATTGATGGCATTGTTCTTATGCTTTCAAACAAAACGAGTTTTCAGGAAACAACTTGGAGGTAAACTGGGGGCCTCTTTACAAAGTGACCTTGGTGCGAACACTGTTGGAGATTTATTGCAGTTTACAGAGGAAATGCTACAGGAACGATATGGCATAAATACAGGGTGGCATTTTTTAACCTGTTTCTCTTGTATATAATGTACTCATAACAATATCCGTGAACTAAATGAGATGCTCTCGGATCTTGGCTTTAAGTGGATCAGGAGGCACTGTTTACCACTTTGAATGCAGTATAATTTATTAACTTTGCCTATTTCATTCAGCATAATCATTGACATAAGCTTGCCATTTCCTGCAACAAAATGTCAACCTGATACTTTCTACTTTCATTCCAGTACGTGGTTATGGAATATAGCAAGAGGCATCAGTGGGGATGAAGTTCAGGGACGTCTTCTTCCCAAGAGCCATGGTTGTGGAAAGACATTTCCTAGCCAACAAGCTTTGAGGAAAATTACTTCTGTAAGATCATTTTTCTTCTCACAGATGGGAAATTCTTATTCCTATAGTAGCTATTTCTAATATACTAGTACATAACATGTCATTTATTAGCTTAGTCTTGAGAAAATTTCTGCAGCCTTCCCTGATATTGTTGTAGTTCTTTTTCTTGATAGGATAAGTATAATGTGCATGTCACCTTGTATTGCGGGCTAGCAGATGCTACCTAGCCCTGGTTTTTGTTGCCTAGGTTACAAATTTTCCCTGTCAAATTCCCCAAAATGGTTGTTCCCTATTTGATCCTTGCCTTGCTAGTGTTTTGACCATAATTGGTCAATTCATTTTTCCATTTAAATGTTGCCACGGGCCTACAGTTTGTTGCTCGAACTAGCTTACTACCACTTTGGATTCCCATTCTACTACCATTAGGAGTGTCAACAGGTTACGTATGGTTCGGGGCAGCCTGTACCAGTCCCATCCCGATTATTAATCGGGACAAAACCATGGACCTAGAACCATCCTGATTAATAATCAGCTTTGACCCGATTAGACCCAATTATACTGACAGCTATAATTATTTAAATAAATAACAACCTAAAACCTGGTTTTTGATAATTTAATCTTAATAAAAATGACAGTAAAATAATAAATTATTTATATATTAATAAATCAAGTGTTTTAATCAAAATTATCTTATATATATTATCTATCAAATTATAGTTTTACACATAAAATATAATAAAAATTATAAAAGACCTACAAACCTTTATATATTATTAACAAAATAAGCAGTTCGGGTTTCAGTTCGGAACAAGCAAGAACCAGAACCAATCCAATTATTAATCAGGTAAAAATCACAAAACCAGCAATATAATTGGTTCAGTCAGTTTGGGTCTGTCAGGTAGAACTGACCCATTGAAGCCCTAACTACTATGTTGTTGTAATGCAAGGTTTTTCCAAGCTTGACCTTTTTTTGAAAATAAAGAAAAAAGAAGAATATATATATAGGCTTTGCTGCCCAAGCAGATCCTCACCCCAATAATAAGAACCCCAAGATGACATTCACAAAACATACAAAAAAGAAGGCCAAGCAAGTCCCTTACCACACTTGGAAGAACCCTACTGGACACCAAACCCCATACCCCAAATGTACCACAACTCTAAGCAAAATGTCACAAGAAGCATTTTTTGATCAGTAATGTCACAAGAAGCATAACCATCCCAACCCAAACACTACAAAAAAAAAGACCAGCAGAAAGAAGCACCTTATACTGCTTTTCCACCTCGCCTGCCTCTGCCTTTGCTCCTAACACTCTTAGATCCTCTTCCCCCTCCTTCACCAACCTCACATAGGAAGTACATGAGCTGCTTCACCTTCTTGTACACAGGGATGTCACTTTTGTCAAAAGCACCTAGGTCGTCCACCTCACAAGCATCCTCAAACTAATCCTCAGCCAGCTCATACCAAGAATCTTTAGACTTCCTTAGGTTGAAAGACTGTCTCTCCAAAGTCTCTAGTAGTCTAGCTTTCTATTCTCCCCCCAAAAAGAACAACCCCAATGTTTTACGGCCCTGGAGGCGCTTCCAAAACGCCCTGAGGCGTATGCCAGAGGCGCTGACACCTCTGAGGCGTATGCCTCAGGTGCAAGAGGCGTACGCCTCTTGTGCTTTTTTCATGAGGCGTGCTAGAGGCGTACTCCTCATGTGCCTCATGCACATCTGATATAAAAAGACAGAAAAAAAAGAAAAAAGAAAAAAAAAGSAAAGGAAAGGAAAGGAAAAGAAAGGGAAGGGAAAGAAAAAGAAAGAGAAGAAAAAAAGAGAAGGAAAGAAAAGGAAAGGAAAGGGAAGGGAAGAAAAGGTAAGGGGAAAGAAAGTGGTTTTCCCCCTGCCCCCTTTTAATTAATGTCATGCACCTTTATTCTTCTTAATATAAAAGATTTTTTTTTAAAAATAAAGAAAAATGAGATCCCCCCTTCTAACCCCCCTCCTCACAAGGAGGCTTGTTCGGGAGGCTTACGCCTCTTGTGTTCTGAACTACGCGTCTCGCCTCTAGGTAGTGGAACGCCTTGCGTCACGCCTCCGCATTTTAAAACATTGGTTTTACCCACCTGAACCCTAGACTGTCCTCTAACCAATGCAAGAATTATCACAAACCTCCCTCCGACCCTTGCCCAAAGAGATCTCAGGCACAACCAACAACCCTCTTGAGCTAGGTTGCATGGCATTCTCTGCCAACTCATTAGGACCAAGAAGAACCAAGCTTGGGAGGCCCATGATCCCACCTGTGACATCTCCTCCATCCTTCTTGTTGGACTATCCTTCTGCTTAGCTGACCCCCTTGGGAGGGGCAGACATCTCCCTCTTCCCTACCTTTTATCAAAGAATTTCTCAGGCCAGGATAACTTTTAGGTTCCTCAGACAAACTTCTTGGAATTCTGTTATTGATCAAAAAAAAAAAATCTTGGAATTTTAGCCTATATGGGCCTAGGGCTGCCTTAAGGTGACACCTGGTTGGACCCACCACCTGGAACAAGCCCAAAAGAACCACACAATAAGGTTGCAAACGGATCAAATCAAATTCAGATAGGGGTATATCCAGATTCAGTTTGATAAGGAATCCTGAATATTTGAATTCAATTTGATATCCAATGGATCTATAAAAACTATATTTGAATTTGATTTGATAATTTGATATCCAAATTAAATATGATGTGGTTTGAATATTTAGATTCAATAAAATGAACTCCACTGTTTGTCATAACACCAATCTAACAATCCAATTCTTACATTTGATTTCATTTCAAAAGTAAAATATGGAAGAAATTCTAGGAGAATCTAAAGAAGGAGCATTGATAGTGAGGAATTCTTGAAGATATTAATTTTATTCTAAGAAAAACAGTTTTGTCCCATCTTTTCTAACAGTTTTTTCTTGTATCCCAATCCAACACTGGTTTTTCAAATGCATTTGCCACCTAACATGCAAAAACACAAACAATGAGCATTTACACAGAACACTTGATAGGCATGGACAAGAATCTAACCAAATGAGCTGCTAATTTCCATGTCAAGGAAACCTTTATGAAATTAAAAGTACCAACCTTCTTTTTTTTTTTTTTAAAAATCTCTTGTAGGGATTCTTCCTTTCCATTGCATATTAGATACCTCGTAACCTTTTGACATTAATAATTGAAGGATTTGAAACTAAAACCCCCAAAGTGATCTTCTGTGTGAGTTGAAGAATCAAAAACATAGTTTTCAAGGTGCCAAGGCGAGGGCAGGCGACAGGGGGGGCACCTAGGTGTCGCCTAGGCGATGGATTTTTTTTAAGTAAAAACATGTATCCTAGGGTAGTTCCCTAGGTTCTATAATCATATTTCCTTAATAAATATCCATAATTTTCATAAGAAAAGTATAAACTTCATGTTAAAGTATAAAATCAACATATTCCAACATATTCGTGAGAAGAAAAAGAAGGAAAAGAAAATTCGAAAAATATAGGGGCTGAACCCCTATTTCTGTTATAGGAAAAGAAGAAAAGAAAAGGTGGAAGAAGAAGAAAAAATTAGTATATAAAAACACAAAATTAATAAAGAAAAATAAGAAAATGTATTGATTGGACAACATTTTATGTTCTTTCTTACTTATTGGTTCAGGTTTTGAAGTCTTTGAAGATTCAATACAGCATTTAGCAATGTTTGTGTTGATTAAACCTTAACAAATAAGAAAGTAACAAAAATAAATTAGTATATAAACACAAAATGAATATTTTAGTTTAAAAATGTCTATTTTATAATTATAACCTCAAAAAATTAAGAATATAAAAGTTTGTTATAACACGCTATAAAAAACTGCTTGGTGATTAGGCGAGGCGAGACTCCAAGGGTGCCTTGTCGCCTAGGTGTCGCCTTGACAACTATGATAAACTGTATAAAAAAGTTCGCCTAGGTCTCAGGCATTGAACCCTTTGACAAAAGAATAAAAAAGCTGCCATTGGGGATTATGTGCTGGAAGGCCAGCTAGTTATAGCGAGTAAAATAAAAGTACATTTTCTTTAGTGATGAAATACTCTATGGTATTTATCCTATTCATGATTTTCATGCAGGTTGAACGTTGGCTAAATGATCTTTGTGAAGAACTGAGTGAACGCATTCAGTCTGACTTGGACCAAAACAGGAGGATCGCACAAACCCTTACATTGCATGCTAGGGTGTACAAGGTACTTTGTTATCTTATTGCTGGGGGTATAAAGTCCCCTGTTTTCTATATCTCTTGTTCAGGCAGCAATTATAATTCTCTAATTTGGATAATCATAGTGGTCCGCATTGCAATTTGTAGAAATGCTAAGAATATGTTGACCTGCAGACCAATGACTCAGATTTGCACAAGAAGTTCCCTTCCAAGTCATGCCCATTAAGATATGGCACTGTTAAGATCCAAGAAGACGCCTTAAAACTATTTGAATCTGGATTGCGTGAATTCTTTGGTTCACAGAGAGTTGAGATCCAAGGGAATCAAAAGAATGGATGGGGAGTAACTGCTCTTTCTGTATCAGCAAGTAAAATATTGGATATACCACCTGTAAGTTCCAACTTTAGTTTATCATTTCCTATGTTATGTAGCAGTTCTCTTGACACTAAGAAAAATATGTGTTTGTTATATCATGTTTTGATATATGTAGTTTAATTGAATCTCCAAACAATAATTCCTGAGTAGAAACCTTATAACACCATTTACATCTCTGAAAACTCACCCAATTCCTGCTGGTCCTGGGTTGCCTAGGGAACTTCCATCAAAATTTAGCTTTAGTCCATGACGCTGGTGGTTGCCACACCATATGGCCTTCTCCATATGGTATTTGCAACTTCTCCCCATGTTCTCAACACATTATCCACTGAGAAGTCTGAAGATGTCCAGAGTTTTTACTCAATGCACCACCTTAATTTTTATAATCTTTACTATCACCACTATTGAGCTGTTTTTCTCCTTAAAGTTTCTTTCATTCCTATCCTTCCAAATCACCCATAGTAATGCTACTCTTGATGCCCTTCACATTATTCTGCCACTTTTTTTTTTTTTTTTTTGGGTTGCCTCATGAAGTTTGGATTGGACAAGCTTGCCAACCTTTGAGGTACTTCCCACCTGCAGCTGAAGAGAGAGCACACCTTCATCCAAACATAGCTCACAAAGGGAGAGGAGACCAATAAATGGGAAATTGTCTCTCCACTTGCTTTGCAAGCATGCACATATGAGGAGAATCTTGTAACATTGAAATCACTTGGTAGGCACCAAGCTCTTTCATTCACTCTTCTAACACCATACTATTCTAACCACAGACTCTCCCTATCACTGTAGGAAGTGGGACTATACACATTGGTTAATCACCATTCAAAACCATCCCCTTTCTGGCTTTCTTTTGAACATTACCAAAACTGTAAAATTCCCTACTTTCTTCAACACACTCCACCTGACTCTCCTCCCAAGCTATTAGCACACCCCTAGAGGCCCTAACCAAATGTAAATAAGCCCATCACCTATTCCTTGATCCCCATATGCTTCTCATCCCCACTTCATTGACTACAATATTTGTTTCTTGTAACAGAACCATTGATGGATTAATTCTCCTCAGAAAATCCTTCACAACTCTTTTTTTCCTTATACTACCTAAACCTCTCACATTCCATCTTCATGGAGACTCACAAGACCTCTATTTCACTTCATTTTGGTGCTCCTTTTTGCATCTTCTGCGAGGATGTGGGAATTTCTATCTCTGATCTTCTTTTCCTAGGTTTAGACACCCTTTCCCCTTTCTTTTGTTCAGCAATTTTAATATCCATAGTTTCTGCTAGTTTTTCCATTTCTTCCTCCTTTTTCTCGCTATCATGACCAACCTCTTCTTTCTTTTCTAGTAACTTTATTTTCTACATTTTTAGTTCTACCCATCTCAATATCACTCTCTTATCCATTCTTCCAGATAATCCATCATCAACCTCCATATCCCTTCCACTTTCTCCCCCAATTGGTCATTGCTCAACGGTATATGCCCCTGGAATTTCCCATCATTTTCAGCCTCAGACCTTGCTTGATTGGTTTGTGCTCAAAATTGTGGACTACTACAAACCTCATCCAAGGAAATGTCCTTAACTTATCTGTGAAGAAAATGGAAGAAAGGAAAAGAGAATATAAAAGAAAGTGAATATCCTTAATTTGGATGACAAGGGAAACCAAAAGAGAAGGGAAAGTTTAGACAAAATAGAAAAGTAAATTCTCTTCTCCAAAAAGATAGATAAAGCAAAGGAAAATGGTGAAAAATACAAGGTTGCAAAGCTGGCCCTACATGCTCTTAAAAGAATATTTATTTTTGATTGGTAGGTGTCCACATTTTATTAATAAGTAATGAAAGAATGTAGAATCTACAAAGATTTGTGACATGTACCCCAATATTCTTTGTTGCCTATGCTACCCCATTCATCATTATCCATATTCTGTTTTGTACAATCCTTAGGGATCAGAATCCCTAGAAGTGAACCTCTGATACAGTTGTTTCCTTTGATGATAAAAAAAAAAAACCCTCTGATACAGTTCTGTTTGCTAATGCATCTGTCATACTATTAACCGATCGTTGTGTCCATATAATTTGAGTTATCATTTTTCGTTGCTAATTGTTTTATTCCCCTTTCAACATGTCTGTGTTGCCATAATCTTGAATTTTCTTGTGCAATCCATCCCACTACTACCGAAGAATCTCCTCCACTATGAGTTTTCTGTAGCTTAATAATTATCTGGGAAGAAAGGAATGCACACCTTTTCAGTAACAACTAACAAGGAGAGGCCTGTTAAGGAGATCATAGAGATATTATCTCCATCAAAGTTGCTCATTGGGTATTTTTTTCACCTTATATCACAGATGACATCCTCAGAAACTGGAAACAGTTGGCTGATTCTTCTTCAGCTACAATAGTCCCCATTGCTAGATGGACCCCTCCTAGACCAGGCTATATAAAACTTAATTCTGATGGATGTAGGTTGGGAAATTCAGATATGGAAGGCATTGGAGGAGTTTTCAGAAATGAAGAAGGAAATATCATTGCAATGTACTTGGGTCCTATAGATGGAGATTCAAAATTAAGGCAGAACTGTGGGCGATCTTCCATGGCATAAGTATAACAAAAAGATTTGAACATCAATGACCTAGTGATTGAAGGAGATTCAAGAGAAGATTTGAACATCAATGACCTAGTGATTGAAGGAGATTCAAGACTAGTAACTGGGTGGTTAAATGGAACCTACACAATTTCATAGAAATACAGATATACTATTTGGGAAATCAAGAGATGATGGTGGATATGAGAGCTGTAGTGAAATGGATAACACTTTCCTAATGGACTGGCAGATGGTTTGGCAAAACAAGGGGCATTGAGGGGCAGCATGTTTTGGGGCCAAGTTGTGTAAATATTCTGTATTAGTAATTTCTCTTTTCTGGAGCTGAGGTTAACCACTCTGTGGGGTGTAAGACCTGTATGCTTTTTCCTAATTATTAATAAAGCTTCTTGACAGAAAAAAGAAAAGAAAAAATCCCTAACATCAGTCCCTAATGTAATGCTAGTAGTTCAGCCGTTGGTGCAATCCATAATTGCACCACATTGTTTTGAAAACTGGACCAGACTGGCTGGTCGAACCATTTGGCCTGGGAAACAGTCATATCCGGGTCCAGTTTTCAAGTGGACTGCTTTTTTGGAAAAAAAAAACGTTGACTTAGTGAGAAAACCACTAACCTGGGCGGTCGAACCACTAAACTGTTCAACACAGGCAGTGGTTCACGGTTTACTAAAATGTTATTTAATTTTTAAGGAAGTGTTAACAGAAAGGAGATCAAGAGATGGGGGAGGGATTGAAATGAGATATCAGATCTGAGATCACAGAGAGAGAGAGAGGGATCAGATCTGCTGTCGCCGCCGTCGTCATCGCTGGTGAAGCACCACCACATCCTTCCTTCCTTCCTTTCTTTCTTTCTTCTTTCTTTTCTTTCCTTTCCCAGCCGACAGCCACCTCCTTCTCTCTTTTCTCTTTTCTCATAAAAAGAGCAATGAGACACACACAACACACACGTATCTATATCTATTCTATCTATCTACCTATACAATATATATGTATATATATATGATGCATCCTTTTTACCCTAATAGGTCAAAAGACCCAGACGGTCGAACCGCTGACCCAGAACCTGGTGGTCAAAGCTGTTCCGTTTCTGGGTTGGTTTTTAAAACCTTGTCGCACCATTGCTTTCCTTGAATATATGACCAATACCTGATGTTCCGTGATTTTTCAAGTTTCACCAATCAAAACTTCGACATGATCTTTCCTCATCCTTTTGGTGACTTGAAAAAGGCATCCTCAAATAGACTTCCCATATCTCTTAGGGGATTCCATTCACTACCAAATAGGGAAAAATATACTTCCAAATACTTGAAGCAGAAGGTCAGGAGGTTAAAACGTGGAAAATAGTTATCACTGCTTGCTCAACATAAAAAAAAATCTGGGGGAATAAACTCCAACCAGATTTTTTTTTTCTTTCAGGAACCTCACATGGTCTTTAAACCAGTCAATTGGGCTGATTTAGAGTTTCGATGAGATTCAAAGCATCGCCCTCCTGGTCATATGCTGACATAATCGAGGAGGACGAATCATATTACCAGCAATGATATAATAGCAATCTTTGATGGTTACATCTTTATTTGAAGCCAAGCTGAAAGGCCAAGACAAAGAGGTCTATTTCAGGGTTTAAAATGTCAGTGTCAGTAGACATTATTGGTCATCCAAATATAGGTAACATGTTGGAAATGTGCATGGAAATATTGTAAAATTTATAGACTTGGTGGAAACATTGTAAAATATGCGAAAGTATAGATTGATATGTTTTGAATTGATAAAAGAAGATTAGACACATTCTTTTAAATTATTATATTGTTCTAAATCTGTAAACCATCAAACAAAGCTAAGAAACTAAGGGTCCGTTTGGTTCACATTCGAAATCGGAATCGAATTCCTCCGGAATTGGAATCAACAGGAATGAAATTTCATTCCCAAGGGAGGGGCAGGGAACGGCCATTCCCTCAAATGGGGGAATACCATTCCATCAGGAATGGGAATGGGGTTCTGATTCTGCCCAACCAAACAGTTGGAATCAGAATAGTCCATTCTGATTCCGATTCCAGACCCCTATTCCTGTGAACCAAATGGGGCCTAAGGTTAATAGACTAAACAATATGCTGTGAAACTATCCTGTAAACTTTGAGAGCCAAAACTGCACAATAGAGTGAGCTCAAACAAAATTTGAACTCGTAGAAAGTGTAAGTGATTCTCATAGATCAACCAAATCCACAAATAAAAACTAAGATTTAACTTCATATCTAAAATGAATTTTGAGCTGGCTCAAAGTGGTACTGGTAATCATGTCCATTAGGCAGGCAATAATTCTGCTACTTCATATAACAATATTACTTCTGTTATAATACCATCTTGTGTACTCTGCACAGTGCCAGTAGATTTTACTACAGTAATATTTAGTCTCAATACCCCTGGAAATACTAGGAAATATGTGGACATTTTAAACCATGGTCTATTTCCACACAACACAACTTTTCAAAATAGCACCCTATCCGGCACTTTTGGTAAAGTAATTTTATTCATAAAGCTTATGAAAGTACAACAAGCCTGCCAGAGAGAACTCCAAGGATAGGAGCCAACTCCTGACTAAAATATATCGAATATTCCATGCATTCACAGCATTCAACAACTAACCCATAGGCTGGGAGGAGAAAATCTTTGAAGCTGAGGCCCAGGACCCAATTTTCCCAACCAACAGCCACCAATGAGATTGTCATTCTCCCTGCTTACATTGTTGGATTTTATTACCATCTGCAAAAACAAAATAGTTTCTGGATAAATTTTATTAAGTCCACGTAATGATGCAGGAGAGATGAATTGATTAAAGTTTCAGAGTTGAATACAAAACAAGATATTTTCTGATAAAAAAAATACAAGATAAAATATTTAATAATGTTATGGTTAACCAATAGTAATATTATCTAGTTGATTTGGATAGTAATTCTTTAGGTTATTCTGATAGATGGGAAAATTTGATTGGTCCTGCAACTGAGCTATGTAGGTTATAAGCTGGAATTAGTTGTGTGATTACAACCATGACTTGAAGTCCAACAAAGGACATTTACCTATATGGAATGTAATAGTGGAGCAAGATTATCTATTTGAACCCACATATACGAGAGAAGGCTTGCAAAATGATGATGATAACATATCCTTTAATGGGATATGTTGTATTTTAAGAAGGCTAGCTGAGGCTTCCTCTCATAGTGGGCTTCTCTGTAATGTTCATATCCTATTTCTTTGATTAATAAATTCAGTTTTTGATAAAAAAATGATGATGATAACATGTTTCTAGAGGAAGCAAAAAAGGCTTCAGAGTATAGGAGCTATTTTTGATAAATGGATGGTTGGAGTAATTAAAAATTTTCCATTATGAGGCCTTTATTTGAAGACCACTTTTGTTTTTGAAAATATTTAGAACTCGTAGACGGGAAACCTAAAAATCTAAAAAAGAAAAACAGGAATCTGCAGCCTGGCCATTGACATCAAAGCCCTCACATTGACTATCCTGGAGTGGCTACATGAAGTCTTTTTCCAGACTGGAACCAAGGTTGATATATGGATTAGAAAATATTAAGATGGTTCTAACAAATATCTAGAATTCTTGGCTAATTGGCTTTGCCTCTTTTCATGCTTATGTACATTTCTACTTTTAATTTTTTCCTTTTGACTTTTTAGATGAAATTCCCTTTTGAATTTCTAGAAAGCTTTTTTTTTTTTTTCATTAGCTAATTACATTCTGGACCATTTGCATGAATCTGTTCCTACTTGCAAAATGACCAGCATGAAGTTTTCTTTTTCCAAATTGGCACTGTGGTTGATATATGACTTTGCAAACATAAAGAAAGGCTCTGACAGATGCCATGGTCTTTCTATTTCATATTTTCTTTTCCATTGTCCATTCTCAATGTTTATGTACATTTATACATTTATCTTTCCCTTTTACTTTTCAGATGAAATAGTTCCTCTCTGGACATTACATATGTAGCCAAGTTATTTTTAACATCACCTTAACATATACTGAATTTTAAGTCCTTTAATTGCTTGAACCTAAATGTATTGAAGTTTTAGATCATATTTTTACTGCTGATGCATCTTATCATGTGGTTGAAAAATGCTTGTGGTAGGGAACATGCTCAATATTGAGATTCTTTCAAGGTTGTGAGTCTTCTAGTTCTTCACCAAAGGAAGCAGGAAATGAGAACATCCAAGAAAATGTACCACCATTTTCACCCTCAGGTATTTTTCAGGTCATACTGAATTTCGATGCCTCTAGTCCCAATCTGGTTCTTGTTTCCAATTTTGCTTCCTGAGTTGGGTGATGTATGTTCTCATTCAGGAAGTGAAAGCTCTTTGGGACAGAATCAAGCTAAACCACAGAAAGGGTCTAGAAGGGAAGAGAGTGGAATTAATTGTGCCAAGCTTGTTCTCAACTGCGAACAGACGAGGGAAAGTCAGGACTATAAGGTTACTTTAAACCAGCCTATTTTTTATTTCAAATTTACTGTTATGATGTGAAAGTATATCCTTCTATATCTCTCCCCTATGTTTCTCCATGTCTCTATTTTTGTCATTGTTGTCTATTAACTATTTAGCTATTATATGAAACTTCATCCATTTAAATTGTCTATTCATCTATAACATGGACATTTTATCTATTAAGATTTGCATACATCTCGCATATGAAGCTTAACTTGTTTAGATGTGTAGTTGTGTACACATTAAATACTGCAGCTTAGGAGGAAAACACCATATGCAATTATAGGAAGGATTTTATTTAAAAATATTGGACAAGAGTGCTTGAGAAGTTGCAATTTATGCCCACCAATTCAATATGTATTTGAAGTTGGTATTGTCATACCAATATCACTTGTGAAGTAAGCAAGAGTGCCCTTAGTCCTTACAATCTGTTTATTTCCTTTCTTTTTATTCCATACTTTGTTGCCCTTTTCCTTCCATTCCATGTGTACTCGTGTGCTATTTTACATGTATCTTTTTATTGATTTTTGATATAGCTTTTTTGTGACAAAATATAGGATTGAAACCTACATAAACCTAGTATCTACTGACCTAACAAACGATTTCCAATCCTGTAATTGAATTCAGCTGCTTTTTCAAAATAGACATCGGTAGTTTACTAGAAATCACTCAGAAAATTAAAAGCAAAAGGTGAAGAAGAAAGCAGAAAATTAGTGAACAGTTTGTTCTTGGTTTCTTTTTTCTTTTTTTTTTTTTTTTACTAGAATGCAACATAGTGAAATATATGATGGTACATTCATAAAGCATTTTCTTAGCCTGTGGTAACCAAATGCTTGTGGCAGGGAAAGGGTTCTATCTTGAGATTCTTCAAAGTCTCCAATTCTTCTTGCTCTTCATCAAAGCAGGTGGATGATGGGACAACCCAAGCACCTTTATGGATGACTCCATCAGGTAAGTCGCTGTCATAGGATCAGGTCCATAATCTATGGTATTTCTTTTTCCTTTTCAATTTGTTCTATTTCTTTCCTGAATTGGATTAACGGTGAATTTTCGTCCAGGGACTAAAAATTGCTTGGGATCTAATCAAGCTCAGGAACTTAAAGTATCTTCACAGGATGATACTGGGAACAACAGTGGAAGACCTAGTTTGGTTAAGGACCTACAGAGAAGGCCAACATGGAATTACAACATTGATGAGATTGATCCCTCAGTGATTGATGAGCTGCCACCTGAAATCCAGCAAGAAATCCGGGGCTGGCTTCACCCTCCTAAGCGTGCTAGTACGGCTAAGCATGGTTCCAGTATTGCTCATTACTTTTTACCCACAAAGAAGGCATAGGAAACCCAAGTAATTTTAATGTTTACACTATGTAATCACAACCTGATAAATTGGAACAAAAGAAAACTCCCCCAGGCCTGAGAAACATCGTTCATGCTTCTTGAGGACAGAGGAGTAGCATGCTTTTCACCAGAAGTTAGTAGTAGTACTAACACCTACTTCAAAACGGTAAACAGTGCTTGTAATCTGTACTTATATACATTGCAATACAGAGGTGCCTTACTTTGGATTGTGAGCACTAAAAAGAAGACTATACCTGTCTTCTGTCTTTGTAATGTAGAAGGGGATTTGTAATTTATCAAGACAATTTGTGAAGAAGATAGGGTAATCCATTCTTGATTCTTCGGGTTTAGTTTGTCTACATATTTATTTCAGATTGTTTTGCTCTAAGACTAAATGGCATTTCTTTTGCCTGCAACTCTACCACCTCTCTCCTCTCATGTATGTATCTATACTACTTATAAAAGAGCAAATGCCCCTTCTTTCTGGAATTTTTACTGGACGTTTTCTACCCCTTCTGTTCAAGCATACAACAGGCATAAAGAGGGCATATATCTTCTTTACTCACTTCAGAAACTATTATAACTATTCAAAAACTGCCCACTTATAATCATATAAGAAAAGGTTTATTAAAGAGTCTTTACAATGAAAGTATCATGGGGATCAGAAAGAGAAATAACACGTATAGCCCCCACACTTTATCATCAATAGATAGATAAGGCTTAACACAACAAATGCATGAAAGTATGAAACAAAATAAATCTACCTTCATTGAAGGCACTGTCACGTGCAAATGCACGTACATGCTTACTAGTATATATATTACAAGTTTGTCGATTCCACCACGTGGATAGTTTATCCTTTCGAGAATTGAAATTTGACAGTGAGAAGAGTTAGGCTTCAGTCAGTGCAATGACTGTTTGAACAGCCTTTACAGCTTGTATTGGGAATAATATCTCTATATTTAAGTGTTTTATTTCATGGGGAGATATTCTCAATGCAAGTTTGCAAGAGGCTGTTCAAGCAGTGTAAACATGGACTTGCATTGACTGAAACCCTATCCATTTCTATTTTTCCTTCGAATCTGATTCTATTCTCACTCTATTTCTCTCTTTTTTTTCCATTTTCTTTTATCCTCTCTCAATATATGTTTTCTATACCATTCTCTTCTTTCTTTGCAAGGTTCTTGGTTAAAAGTATTGTTTACTAGATCTGTTGTTGGTTGTCCTTGCATCGATTATTTGTTTTCTTCGCGGTTAGGTCTGGTGATGGTTTCCTATCATTGCTCTTTGCCAGAATTTGATGTTTTTGAGTTTCTTTGCAAGGTTTTGGTTAGGGTTTTGTCTATGGTTGGGGTTTTCCCATGGTTTTGACATGGTTCTCCCCTTCACAACAATTGGAGTTTTTTGTTTAGCAGCATTTTGCTTCAGCTCTTCAATTTTCTCCTCCTCTCATCAACACTGGATCCCATTAGGATCAAGGTTCAAAATTTCGGGACCCCACTCTTTTTTAATGAAAAATACATATATTTAACTCCCCAAAACCAAATTTTGAAAAAAAAAACTAAAAAAACCATGTTTCCGCATGTATCTAAGTACCAATACACCTCTGCTGATACACAAAGGCGTATCGATACTTTCAACCATGATTAGGACTGCTACTTCTATGATAGAACACTTCCGGTCCAAGATTGCCACCATAAATTGCTGAAACCTCCCTTGAAGTTGTTTGACTCCCTTGAAATTGCTTCTGACTGTTGCCAAAACATTTGCAATCAATCAATCACCTCTTCTGAACTTTTTTTACACAGTTGCAAGTAGATCCCCTGGTTAGGATCTTCTATAAAGAGGCACAAAAATGTCCAAAATACCCATACAATTATTATTGAGCCTCATTTCTACAGAGAGAACAATACAAAGTTTATGAACAATAAAAATAGAGAATTTAAAATTGTAGCTTTACATTTGAGCGATTGATATGAAGGGCAAATTTGAAAAACAAATCAAGTTTAAAAAATAGATTGGGACCCGCCATGCATGAGATATACGGTTAGGGTAACTTATGTTGTTGGTAGGTAATCCAGACTCATTTTATTGAACTTTGCAAGCATTAGGTTTTTAATGTTAAATTTAATTAGTAAACATTTAATTAGTGGAATTTAACGATAAAAGAAAAATACCTTAAATATAAGATTTAATGAACCAAATTCAAATTCAAAAGCAAAAATATTTTAATAAAAAAATTAAAAATACAAGATCCATTTCCTCTATATAGATACATGCCCGTGCCTAGCACGGGCTGAACTCAGTCCTTTGCATACTTTGTCATGATTCACAATTATTCAGTATTGTCTCTCTGGCTGGCTGGTTCTCACACTTTACCATAAATTCCTGGAACTGAAGTCCGTTATGCAAAAATGTGCATTACAGTGTCAGTGTTTGTTCAGTGTTCAATCCTTGCATGCTTTTTCAATATTTCAGCCACGGCTAAAGTGCATACGTGTAAAGTGTAATACCCACTTGGGAGATCGATATATTATTTTCAGAAGTAGGCACCCAGCAGGCAAATATTTTCAGAAGTGTGTACGTGTAAAGTGTAATACCCACTTGGGAGCTCGATATATTATTTTCAGAAGTAGGCACCCAGCAGGCAAATATTTGCCAAACAAAGTATTAAAATGGTGAAAACTGAAAAGAATGACTCGTTTCTGTTCGGACAAATTTGCCACATCAAATGCTGACATGGAAAGCTTTTGGATGCCCACCTAAGCAACCTACCAGAGAGAGAGAGAGATTGAGTAGAAAACAAGCAAAATAAAAGGGCAGAAAAACCACACTTTTTTTTTTCTCTCGTGTCAAGCAAGCATATATGCCAAGTAGAAGTATGGAGAGAAAGAAGATAGACTAAAGCCCCAAAACAGCTCTCCCTAACACACTCCCCTTCGTATCTTTGATCCACTAACACGTTTCTTCATTGACACATCTGTTGCAAGGTGTCCATGAATTAAAAAAGCTTGCCTAAAGAATCAAGTCTTGTGCTAAAATATACTCGGAGCACCCCACTTTATGGCCGGCCTCTTGTTCCCCACTTCTCTTTTCTATTTTTTTTAAACATGCTTCAGCCATTGCCATGCTGCTTATATGCACCCCAAGTGTTTACATTGTGGTTTCAGAGGACTCTTCTCAGTGTTCGAACTTCAAACTTCAGGGGGGGCTTGCTGCTTACAGCTTACTGGGTGATTGGAACAGAAGAATTTCTCCTTGTTCAAAGCTTTCATCACAATTGGCTCCCTTCCTTTCTCTATGAGTCCAAGAAGACATTGTTTGATACTCTGCACTCTTCTTCTCTGCTTTTCCATCACAGCCACCCTCTTCACTCTCTGTGGTAACTCTCTCTCTCTCTCTGTCTGTGAAAACTTCAAACAGTTAATCATTACTACTTGTTATGCTTCCTGGTTTGAGCAGATGCTAGAAGATCAAGGCAACTGTTGAAGCTTGAAGGGTCTGCTCCTGCACGCCCAAGAAATCCAATCCTGGAAGCAATAAAGAAGCTGAAGCTGTCAAAGCATTTGGACTACTTGAATGAAGCCTCAGATCCCTCCAGTTCTCAAACCTATGATGTGGGTTCTCCATTCAACCTGCCACCATTTGATTCTTTGGCTCCAATGCCATTGCCAGAGAATGCCCCTCCCTTCTGTGTTTATCCCCCATTTACCCCCCTACCTCCTTCCACAATCATACCCACCCCAACCATCTATTCACAACCACCCCCTCCACCACCTTCTTACATGATCCCCATTTTCCCCATCCAAAGCCCACCTCCAGGCCCACCTGCCACCGTCCCCATCCCCATCCCACCAGAATCTCAAAGTCCACCAGTCTATGTTCCTAGTCCCCCAGAATATGGGACCACTCCCCCTAGCCCCATCTACATCCCAAGCCCACCTTCAGAGTCTTCCCCTAGCCCACCCGAGACAGTGCCCAATCCACCAGAATTTGGGCCAAGCCCACCTGAATACGTGCCAAGCCCATCTATCTTTGTTCCTAGTCCCACGGTTTTTCTCCCACCAGTTGTCTTCCCTCCACCATCCGTGCCACCACCACCCTCCAGTGGCGGAGCCACTTTCCCAAGGTGGTGCGTCGCCAAGCCCTCCGTCCCTGATCCGATCATTCAAGAAGCCATGAATTATGCTTGTGGATCTGGAGCTGATTGTGAGTCAATTCAGCCCAATGGATCATGCTTCCACCCAGATACATTGTTCGCCCACGCTTCCTATGCTTTTAATAGTTACTGGCAAAAGACTAAACTCGCCGGAGGCACCTGTGACTTCGGAGGGACGGCCATGCTTATCACAGTTGATCCCAGTAAGTTTTGATTTCTGACTTCTGAGCACTGCGGACTCTTCCTTCATACTTTCTCTAATCTCTAGTGTGGGGACACAGGAGGACACTTCAGAATTTAGATGGGTCTGGGCCCCATAAGTTGCCAACTATTCAATGTTTCAAAGATGGGACCCAACACTAAATAGGTCCCACCTAAGATATTGGCTTTGCCAAAATCTGGGTTCAGTTTAACAATCTAATCTATCCATAATTAGAATCGGAGGGTTGTAGTCTGTTTGGCCCAGCTGGTCTATTAGGTGGGTGTAGGAGTAGGACCCAGAAGATCTATTAGGTGGCAAGTTAGGGAGACCCAGACCTATCTAAGTGCTCTGTGCCTAGCAGCGTGTACATTAATATTTTCTAGGAAAACATCTAAATTCAATATTTTTCTAAAAAAAAAGGAAAGAAAAGCAAAGGTACACTAATAATTGGAGAGAAATGTTGAAAACGCAAATAATTTTGATTTCCAAAAAACGAGAAAAATTTAGAATTTTTAATATTATATATTTAGAGCTAAAAACTCATTTACATGTTAAATATTCATAGATATATTTAAAAAAATGCATAACCAATCAACTAGTATTCATAGAAATTGCCTTATGGAGGTGTGATATAAGATGGTTATAGTCAACACACAGAAATAATAGTAGACCCAAGATGATGGATGGTCTCATGGTCCACAATTTTGCACTTACGTTTTCTCTCTCTCTCTCTCTCTCTCTCTCTAATAAATTGGTGATGTTTTAATTTACTAACCTCTCTCTGCTCTGCCTCTGGTATTTGCTTAACAGGCTTTGATGGGTGCCATTTCCTCAACGACTGAATATTGATTACCCAGCAACCGTCCATCCAAAGCAGCTATAAATGAAAGGGGATAGCCGGAGGGCATGGTCCATTGCTCCGGGGGTTACATGAATAAGACCATGTAGTAGAGAGAGGGCTCTCTTTTCCTGTTTTCTTCTTGTTGATCAGTGACCTTAATATGAATTTTGCAGGCTGAGGCACTAAATTTATTATTATTTCATTAGGTTGGTTCGATACAGTTTCTGGTTATTAGGATTTTAGCTTTACATACTTGTAATCTTCTTCTTCTTCTCTTCTTCCTTGTGTTTCTTCTGTTTCTGCTTCTATGCATGGGACTTTACCTCTCTCTGTTTTCATGAAATGTAAAAAATGCATTGGAATAATTTCTGAATACATTTACTATTATATAAAGTGTTATGAGTGTACATGAAAAATTTTATTACTATATAAAGCAGATGCCCTAGTTAAGGAAGAGAGAGAGTTTCACTTCTTTTTCTTTCAAACCAAACATAGCATTATTTTTAATGTATAATATAATTAGAGGAGACTAGTTTGATTTTGATGCATGGTTACATTGGATTTTGTAATAAAAAAAGGAAAAATGAATTAATTGTCTGACTTTAAATAAACACATATCTGATTCAGAAAAACTACAAAAATTTTAATGGGTTACAAAGCTGTGAAGTTGGCTCAAGAGTACAAATGCAAATATATAGAATGTAAAACTTTGTATTTTGTATTGTTTTATATGTATTTACACTTTTTTCAAACTGAGATTCAAAATATTAATACATTCGGAGTTCGATTATGATATGGAAAAGATATGATATCTGAAAAACTTCTTACTATTCAACTAGAATCATAAACGTGGTGGCCAATTAAGTGTTATTTATCAAAATTCATGAGGATATTTGCATATCATGTGATTAAAAGGGACAATAAATTTAGAAAAAAAAAATTAACATTAAAAAATTGAGCCAAGATAAACAAAATACCCTAAAATCTGATATATACACCCAATGTCCAAACCACCGTATAAAAATTCTAATCCATTTTATTTATCTTAAAGATCAAAATTTTGTAACGTATCGATACATTGGTGACCCCTTATCACAATACATTTTACATTTTTTGACCTGTTTCAATGAATAAATAGATGAAATGCTCAATGATACAGATCGATACAGCCCCATCTGATATATGGGCCTGTATCAATATTTATTTTTCTTGTTAGTCATGTCGGTGCACTGAGGCAGTGATTAGTATAGGAATTAATTAATAACATCAAACACTTTGGAATGAGATCTCTCTGATGGTCGAATTAGAGATCTGGAGTCTGAATAGGCCCCACATCAAGATGTGTGCGCACATGGCTAGTATTTTCCTTTCATTTGTTCCATGATTTGATGCGTTCTTTACGTTAGAGACCGACATCGGCCCCACATAAAGCTTTACACGTGAAGTTAGATGGAAGCTACTGTGAACTGATCTGACCCGGCTTACAAAAGAATGTTGACGGCTTCAGACAACAGGTTAGTGTGGGCCAACAACCCACTAAAATAATGGGCCATTTGATAACGGATGATGTGGGCCATGTGGTTGAGCTGAAAACAATAAGTGATTCACTTCAGCCATTTCACCCCTTATCAATCAGCTTTTTTTTTTTGTTTATTCGACCCCAAATCAATCAGCCCTACCCTAAAACCCAGGTACACAGGACCGGCTAGCCCACTCCAGATTGTTCCAGCTGGCCCCTACCATCTACAAATATTTATCTAAATTGAACCGGCTAGACATGGTCCCATTTTTTTATGTGAAATATTCAACCTTTTTTGGACCAATTCGACTTCAACAATGTTGTTATCCATTGGATTTGTGCAGAAATACTTTGCTACTTGATCTAGTTTTTAATTGTTCTGCCAGTTCTTCTCATGCAGCAAGAGTGGAGAGTCCTTCCACCCTAAGGGTCCGTTTGGTTTGCAGGAATTGGGGTTTAGAATCAGAGTCGGAATGGGTTATTCTGATTTCAACTGTTTGGTTGGGCGAAATCGGAATCCCATTCCCATTCTTATTGGAATGACATTCCCTCATTTGAGGAAATAGCCATTCCCTGCCCTTCCCGAGCCCTTTCCTCGGGAAGAAATCTCATTCCTGCTGATTTTAATTCCCATTCCCATTCCTGTCTAAATCAAACGGACTATGGGAATAGATCATTCCAGTTCTAATTTCGGAAGATTTTGATTCCGATTCCGATTCCGATTTCGAGCACGAACCAAATGGACCCTAAGTTGAGAGGAGAAACACGACCTATAAAAGAAATACAAATGAGAGAGAGAAATTAAGGTTGTGTTTGGTTGCAATGCAAATAAATTTGTATTGATGCAAAGCTATAGTAGTGCAAATGATTTAGGTGCAAATTCTGATTTATTTTTGTTTCAATTTTACCTTATTTTCTTTGATTATAGTACAAATAAAATAAAATAAGATATGAAGCAGAATAAAATAAAACCCAAAACAAAATTAAACCAAAATTTACATTATTTCCATTTGCACTCCCATGCATTTGTACTAGTACAAATAAATTTGTATTGCAAACACAAGCTACAGTTACATATGATTGAACTCCATCATGGCTTTGTCAAGGCTAAGGGGAAAAAGAGTGAGGATAAGAGAACACAAGCTTAACTTGAAGAGAAAAAGAAAAGAAAACCTGACTTAATTTAGCATAGAACGAAGCAGAAGGAGAAGTTGATTTTTTTTTTTGCTCCCTCTTGATAAATATCACAATTTTCATGTATGTTCATATCCTCATTTTATGTACCCTATTCCTAGTGGGTCCATGAATGCAAATTGGTCCAACCCATTAAGGAAGAATGCCGTTGGACCCAGGTCATCCATCCAAGAAAAACAAAAGATTGAGAATCTCTATTGGCTTCAATCTCTACCCTCTATAAAATGACGAGTAATAATTGAGGCTCCATTTGGAAGGAGTACAAATGCAAATATATAGAGTACAAAATCTTATATTATATATATTTTTTGTATGTATTTGTACTATATATATTTGTATTCGTACTCCTTCCAAATTAAGGTTAATAGGAAAAACAAAATACTGAGAACACAATGTAAATAAATTTGCATTGATGCAAATAAATTTGTATTGCTGCAAATTCTGATTTATTTTTGTTTCAAATTTTACCTTATTTTCTTTGATTGTAGTTCAAATAAAGTAAAATAAGACGTGAAGCAGAATGAAATAAAACCCAAAACAAAATTAAACCAAAATTTGCATTATTTTCATTTGCACTCCCATACATTTGTACTAGTGCAAATAAATTTATACTGCAAACACAAGCTATAGTTACATATGATTGAACTCCACCATGGCTTTGTCAAGGCTAAGGGGGAAAAGAGAGAGGATAAGAGAACACAAGCTTAACTTGAAGAGAAAGAAAAGAAAAGAAAAGAAAAGAAAACCTCAAGGTTTTTAAAACCGACCCGGACAACGAACTGGTCAGGGGTCTAGTTTCAGGTCGAACGATTGACCCGTTCTGACAAAAAATAAAAAAGTTTAAAACCGTTGAACGGTTCAAATGGTTCAACCGCCTGAGTCAGCAATTTGTTGACCAAATCAACATTTTTTTTGCAAAAATCCGATCAACCATCCGTCTGGTCTGATCCAGTTTTGAAAACCATGAAAAACCTGACTTAATTTAGCATAGAATGAAGCATAAGGAGAAGTTGATTTTTTTTTTTTGCTCCCTCTTGATAAATATCACAATTTTCATATGTTCTTATCCTCATTTTGTGTACCCTATTCCTAGTGGGTCCATGAATGCAAATTGGTCCAACCCATTCAGGTTGAATGCCGTTGGACCCAGGTCATCCATCCAAGAAATACAAAAGATTGAGAAATTCTATTGGCTTCAATCTCAACCCTCTATAAAATGACGAGTAATAATTAAAAGGAAAAAAAAATACCGAGAGAACAAAAATTTGTGTATTTAAGTTAGTTGTATACTGTAAAGACAAACCCATTATATTCACTATGAAAGAGAATAGAGAAATACAAATTCATATATGGTTTTCATTTTCATCTCAAATCAAAGCCTAAACCTGCTCTTCTTTTCCTATCACAAGCATTGAAGAACACTATCAAAACTCAGTACTTTGACAAAAACCAGCCCATCTTTTCTCCACCCTAAAAGCACTGTAAGCATCTCTATTGCCATATATTCTCTCTCTCTCTCTAGAGATCAATTAATTAAATGCAAAACAAGAACAATATAAAGATGGTTCAAATAAAAAAAAGTTTCAAGAAAAATTCAAAAAATAAATTAGGCTAAAACATAATACATATATTACATTTTAGTAAAAATATTAATTACAATCATAATATAAAACTCAAAAGATACCCAAGACCAACCATTTCCGATACTCTGTATCTATCGTCCATGATGAAAAAAAAAAACTATCTTGTTTGTAGAATTAAAGTAGGGTGGTTGAATTAAAGAGATAGATCCCAATCCCATGTATCATATAATTGACATATACTAATTAAGGAGACTAAGAAAAACTCTATTATATATTCCAACATTGCTATGTGGCTATGAGTGTGGCTGAGATACTAGAAAGTTGAGATGGATGAGAAACAAGGTTAAAAAGGAAAAAAAACCTTGTATTTAGTATTATTTTATATGTATTTATAGTATTTGTACTCCTTCTAAACTAAGCCTAAAGTAGCATATTTCAAAGGATATATATGAGTATCTCTAATTAGTGACAAGAGGAAGGATGTTTGACTAAGTATAGTTTAGTCATGTGTAAGGACAACAAAAGATTACAACATCAAGGACTAAATTAGTGCAGTAGAAAGCTCTAAAGAGAAAGAGGAAGACAAAAGAAAACATGATTTAAAGCCGTAAGAAATGATATAAATACACATAATTTGATAAAACCCATGGTTCTTGATAGAGAATAATGATATGATGAGATAGTGTTAGGTGCTGTTTGGCAAGTCTTTTTAAAAAGATCTTCGGACGGTCTAGATGGCCAAAAGATGTAATAAGCTCTTGGGTTTTTTGGTTAAAGATCTAAATCGTTTGAAAAATATCCAAGTCTACCACAGTCTATAAAGCTATTAAATGAAAGACTTTAGGTGCAGAAAGATGAGAAGCTTCATTTAAAGTTTGTAAATTTGGAGCTTTTATGAACTTTTTAAGGCATAGGTATTTTTGGCTTCCTGTCTTTTGTTGCCAAATGGAGAAGGACCAAATTTTGAAAAGCCCAAAAGACCACACGAAAAGTCTGGCCAAACACTCTCTTAATTTGTATAGCTAACTCCAAATAGTTGAAGTTTGAGTTGAATTGAGAATATATAGGTTTTCAACGCA